GGCTCAGAATGTGAAGCAGCACCAACAAGACCTGCTGATAGTCTTTAAATCAACTGTTCCATCAACAGACTAAGCACTGTAGTGCATTTGTCATATAGTTGTCGGCTTAGCAGGTGTAGTTGTGCTAGTACTCAGTGACGATATGTTTGGCCTTACTGTTGGCAACATCACCACTGAATCTGCGAAACTGCAATCGTAGTTCACATCTATCCAAAGTAACTCTTCAACCAGGCCAGTAAGTGTTATCATCATCATCATTAAATTACTATAGTTATGCCTTCTCAAGTTTTACATATTTAAACTTTCGTACCATAAACATTCTTCGAAGATCACACTGTCCTACCGGTTAAATCACCAAAGCCTAATTTCTATGAAGTAAACTGTAGAATTCCCAACATCAGACGATGGCCAGGTCTGTTCGATAAACACTGAAGCCAGCAACTGCAGCCAGATTCTACAGTTTACAATCATTCAGGACAATCCAGATTATATGGTAAACTGATAAACTAATTTTAACTTTGTTAATTAAGTCAGAACATTATATTCATCAACGCCAACTTCATTTGCAAAACTAGTGTTCTAATATATTAAAGTTTTAGAATTAAAAGTTAAAAAAGTGGTTTTCACATAGTGAATAGTTTCCACAGTTAAAAACACTACCAAATTTCATTCTAGAATAGAAATACTCAAAGAACTTTGGAAAAATTTAACCATAACGTCGCATTCAAACTTTCGTCCCTATGAAGAATTTTCTCAAAGTTGGATAGGATATATGAAAAGGCAAAGGATATGTAGCCTATTTCTTGAAACAGATGTAATAAAGTTCCTCCGCTAGAATTCACTAACATGCATTCTGTCCCCGAAAAAAAACCGAGCAAATAAAATGAAGATTTCCAATAGATGGAGGCCATATATATATATTTTTAATGAATTTCCCACGTTAGGGGCAACTAAAAAACCTGTTGGTTGACTAGTCTACTTCTCCAATTACTCTTTTTCCTAAGTTTATTCTTGTAAAATCTTTAAAAAAGCTATTCAGACCATCGTTCTTGTTTCACTTGACTCTTTTATACTATTCGTTCTTGTTTCACTTGACTCTTTCATACTATTAGATTGGAATTGCTTACTTTTATATTACTTTAGCTACAACTTGTGGTAAATTCTGACATTTATACTGCTACCTCGGAAGAACAACATGAATCTCACCTTCCATCTACTACTGTATTACTGCTTATACAGAATTCATGTAACATGTAATGCTAGACGTCAAATTTATCGATTTTCGCTCCTGTAAATTATGGGACTTTTCACAACCAAATGAAAAGAACTTCAGACCAATTAAAATTGATGAGGAAAGGCTACCACTAAAACTCTGACCGACGTCATAAATTCAGGACAAGAATGAAAGATTATGCAGGTTCTGCATTTTCCGAAATAACATTCGCGTGTAACCAAAAGTATTGAAGCTCGTTATTTTTTCTCTTAAAGGCAACATATTTGAGAATCAAAAATGAACCATATAAATGCGAATGCAGTTAATGATTAGATAAGAAAAGCAGGTAGGGAGTAAACTTTTTCAAAAAACTTAAAGGAGAAAAGAACGGTATTAATTATTGGTAACAAAGTGTTATAAAGCAGCATCAAAATTGAAATCATACACCACTAATAATTTTACCTGCCATTTCTGACTTCATTAACCTATTAAACAAAAAAAAAAAAAAA